TAACTTGAATATCTGAATGTAGAAAAAATGGCAGTTGTGAATTACACCTCAAGAAGGCCAGAATATGATTTCTGAATATATTCTGCACCAAGAAAATGGAGTTAGCAGCAGATTTGGATGTCATAAGAACTTCCAGGATCAAGTGCAGCTGTTTTCTAAACTCAATGACAGCACAAACTCTAGGCCAAGTAAAGCAATCACGAACTAAGCCAAACTTTAAAAACTTGGATTTGGTGCAGTTTGATGTTCATGTTGAAATATGAATGGACTGATAATTGCTCAACATCTCATTACTGTGTTGTCCTATTATTACTAAGAGTACGTAGTAATTATATCTGGAAAAATCATGATTACGGTGAAGTTTTACAATTATTTAGAAACAAATATTGAATACAAATAAGTGTCTGAAGCTGTCTGCATGGACACTAGATGTCAATGGAGAGGCATGTCTAAGCAAGCTGTACAAGTGCATTAGTTAGAAGTACATTGTTTCCTCCTTTTTCTAATGTGAATTTAATACTGCTAAAATAATGAGGAGTCCTGTGGCACCTTAGAGACTAACAGATTTATTAGGGCATAAGCTTTTGTGGGCAAAACACACTTCATCAGACGAATTGGAATGGAAGTAACAGAGGCAGGGGTATATATAAAGATGAAGTTGCTTGTGTTAATGAGGTTAAACAAGTCAGTGTACAAGTGCCTTATTCATAGTATCTGATGTGGAGATGTGAATATCCAGGGAGGGGAAATTGCCTTTGTAGAGTGTTAACCAGTTGAGATCCTTGTTCAGTCAAACTCAGTACTATCAATTTAGGATTGAAACCTTTTCTTTGGCATTGAAAATATATGCTTTTTTGTCATCTGTGCACAGCTATTCCTACACATTATGACCTATACGCAAAGGTTTAATTCTGTAAACCCTCTCTGTACAGAATTCCAACTGACTTCAGTGGAACTTCTTTACTGGAAGAACCCTAAGAAGCTTCTTTCACGTGGAATCTATGGGTATGTCTACACTATACTAAAGAGCACAGCACCGCCAGGTCAGCAGGGTTATAAATTGCAGTATAAAGGTCTAAGCACGATTCAAAGTCAAAAGGTGGAGAGTCGCAGAACCACACTCCTGCCTGAGCATCCTGTGTCTGAGGCAGGTGTCCTGGGCTCTAACACTTGGTGCCACAGGTTTATTTGATTGCAGTGTAGACATAACCTGTGTTTTACCGCTGTTGAACAGATTATTAAAATCATGCCCAATGTAACTTATGATAATATAATATACCTATCTCACAGAATAGAAGGGACGGTCATTGAGTCCAGTACCCTGCCCTCACAGCAAGACCAAGTACCATCCCTAACAAATTTGCCCCAGATCCCTAAATGGCCCGTCAAGGATTGATCTCACAACCCTGGGTTTAGCAGGCCAATGCTCAAACCACTGAGCTGAGCTATCCCTCCCCACTACAGGACTTGGTTTCTGACAGATTGGATGGTATATTTTAGCACAGGCTCTCCTAAAGGGTTTTCACCTTTTTGGCTCTTTGAAGTTTTTCCTCTGTGATATTATTTGTAGGTCACATGAGGCCCTAACACAAACTCCAAGGCTATGTCTACACTGGTGAGATCTTGCACAAGAGCTATGCAAATGAGGCTAAGCGTGGAATATTGCCGAGCCTCGTTTGCATATCTAATGAGCCACCATTTTGCAGAAGAGGCTCTTGCGCAAGAAAGAGCTATCTACACTGCCCCTTCTTGCACAAGAAAAACCCTCTTGTGCAATGCCGTTATTCCTAAAAATAATCAACATAACAGCATTGCGCAAGAGGGTTTTTCTTGCACAAGAAAGGGCAGCGTAGACAGCTCCTTCTTGTGCAAGAGCCTCTTCCGCAAAAATGGCGGCTCATTAGATATGCAAATGAGGCTTGGCGATATTCCATGCTTAGCCTCATTTGCATAGCTCTGGCACAAGATCATGCGCCAGTGTAGACATAGCCCAAGATTTTTATTTTTAGACCTGGGCAGCAGCCAGCAAAACCCTAACTGAATGTGGCACTTGTTACAAGTTAAAAATGTAACCATGTAACATTAAAAAATTGTAATGATTACAAGTGCTGTGGGCTCTGCAGTATAAAGTTATATGGCAGAGCCCTCAGTGCAGCCGGCTCACTGGAAACGGAGCATGCAGCAGGTATGTGCCAAGAGCTGGCTAAATGCTGGGGAGCCAGCTTTACCACAGGCTCTGCAGTATAAGTTTATTCTGCAGAGCCCACAGCATGGAGGGACAGCCAGCTCCCTAGAAGCATAATGGAAACCAATAAGCTGATTCTTATTGGTTAACCATTTAAACGTTTACATCCTTAGTTACAAGACCACAGGTTTTGAGATTACGTTCTCTGTTCAAAGAATTGTAGATATAACCAATAGAGTCAGTGTTAGCTGTATGAACAATCGGTTGAATCTATGAAACCCTGGGATTCCTATTCAGTAGTATAGATTTCCCACCCAATTTGTCAACAGTTTGAGATTATCACTGAATGCAGAAGAATGTCTTGCCAACAATTATTCAAGACATCTTCATATAGAGCAGTGTTTCTCAACTTTTTTTTATAAAGTAACCCCTTTCCAAAAAAAATAAATTATAAGTATCCCCTAAAAAAATGTACCCCCAGTTCCTACAGTTTTCAGAGACAATTTTTTTCTACCATTGCGACACATTTGTTTAAACAATTTAATTGTAGCCAGGCAGGCAATGAAATTTTTGGGTGTAAAAAGTAGAAAAATAATAAAGCACTATAAAACTTAAAACAAAAATTCAGTTCTCCAAATTTCTGTTGTGTTGACGTACCCCCAGACTTCTCTCGAGTACTCCTAAGGGTACTCGTACCACTGGTTGAGAAACACTGATATAGAAAATTGGTTTAATTCAGCCTTGATGTAAGTGATGTACCTATTGATTTTCAATGACATTACACTGGTTATGCCCAATGGCGGAATTTTACCCTAGAATCTAATATAGGACATAACTGCATTGCAATTAAAAACCCACAGCTGGCCCATGCCAGCTGACTTGAACGAAGGAGCTTTTTAATTTTGGTATCATTGTTCAGATTCAAACTGGAGTCCGAGTCAGTTGATATGGGCCATTTCCAGATGTTTAACTGCAATGTAAATTCCCTTAATTGGAATGGTGAGTTACTGGTGATACAGAATTCTGTATCAATTTCATTTAGCTTTACAACAGATGTGCAAACTCATTGAGATAGTTTTAATAAAAGCTTGTTGGAAAGATTTTTTGAAATAATGTTATTTTCTGCCAAGTGCAAATTGATTCATTCAGTTAGGTGGCATCAAACCCTCAGTCACTATGACTTTCTTAGCACTCCTACTAAAAAGAAAACAAACAAAAGCAGTTTTATCCTGTATATCATATTGAAGAATCTTTGCATCCTGGTTGCTAAGTCCAGCTCATTCTCTTTTCTTGTTAAGATTATTCAATCTGCCAGAAAGAGTACAGAAGGTTTTGTCTTCAGTTTCTACAATGTTATTATAGGGCATAAACACATCTCCAGTCACGTAACAAAGAAGTAGGACTGGACAGACTGTAGACATGCAGTAAACTGAAAGCGTCTGCAGCCACAGCCAGAAAAAACCAGCAGGCATCTAGTCACAGGGAATTGGCACCAAGCAAGTCTTATTACTAGCTCACGGTCACAATGTTTTGAGCATTCTGACTCATTCTGTCAACATATTTTGCAAACTTATTGATCTAGCCTTTATGCTATTTATGTTACCTTAGATTATCTTAATTAGAATAACACTGTGAGAGGGAAATCACCCCCTTCCCCCTGCAAATGTTACTATCTACTCAGTTTAAGTGATCTAGGCCCTGACTTGACTGGATGGCTCAGGGAGAAGGTCAGTATGCAAGGGCAGCATTTGGCTTTTGATAGACCGCTCTCTCCCGATCTTTATTTTTGTAGCATACCACTGGCAAGTGCTCCTTTAAAGATAGCTTGCAAGAACTTTATTCACACAGTTACAAACCCAGCATCCCTTAAACAACCAGAAATTTTATTTTGTAATATCAATCAGTAGAACACCTAGTTTCCCTATTCACCTGATGTTACATTGGATTGCAGACGGTTAGCTGAAGTTAGAGCCACCAAGTTAAGCACAAGAGAAATTAGGTGTTTTGTATAACATTTGTGTTGCTGTGCTGAGATCAGTGCTGACACCACTATTAAATACAACAAATTATGGGAAGTAGCTATGTAAAGAAATGTATTTATTTCCCCTCTAAAGCAACAATCTGGAAGACTAATCTGATTATTTTTCCAAGTAAAATGTAATATGGATTACTTTGCCACTTTCCTTGCAACCCTGTTGCTCCTGCTAGAACCCTGAGCAATGCTGTTTTCGTATGCAACTCTTATTACTGTCTCTGTAAATCTGCATACAAAGCACAAGAGTTTGGTGAGGATAATAGGTAGGGGGAGATGTCAACATTTGGGGGCTGCAAAGTAGGAGTAACAGATATAACCAAAAGTTACCAGGCAGCAAGGGAGATCAGAAAAATATTACTCTAAAAATGGTTTTAGATGGGGTACTATGGACAACAGCATCATTATCTACACAACTCTGCCTTATTTCATCCTGTGCTGAATAAAACAGGGATCCTGTGGGAAAAAAGAAGAATGTAATTATGCAATTAGAATGGGGGCAGAAATTAGTTGCAGACAGGCATTTTCTAACTTCTGAGTTCTTGACTTTTCACCCTCAGCATTCTTTTGATAAAGGGATTTTTCTAATAAAAAAATACTGTACAGCTAGAGACATGGCATAGATTACCATCCGCTATAAATATGCACAGAATGAACAATATTACACATGAAGTTCACTTAAAAGGGACAAGTCTCTTGCACAAACTTGTTATCAGTTCTCATACCCACAAAAAATATGAACATACTAAATGAACACTGGGATAAAATAGTTTTGAAACGTACTTTATATGTCCTTGGAAGCTCCTCTGCGTTCATTGACCTTCAGACAGAAACTAAACAGAGCCCCAGTGTTTATATGTTAGTCTCCTTTACAGCACATCTTCCTCCCTCGAGTTTAGTTGCTGTGTATGGACATATAAACATCAGGAGACTAATACAACAAAGCTCCTTAGAGCCTTACTAGTATTTACTGGTAACACTTTTTATATAAGTAACCAGAGCTATACACACATGGACAAATGAGAAAATTATCAACAAATATTCAAAACTGGTGCAAGGGATAGCCAGGTAGCTGGCTGCTACACAAGAGACTTGGAAATACAAGTAACTTTACTCCCTGGCTGCTGCAGACTCCCCTTTTTCCTCTGTCCTTACTTGCTAAGGTTTCTTTTTAAAAGTGCATACTGCCTTTACTGAGACCTGCTTATACTAACACTCCTAGCACCCACAGGCCAAAAGAGATAAGAACTTGTCAGAAGCCTCATTTACCTCTGCAGGATACGGCAGTGAAGTTGAGTCTTTTCTTATCAATCAAAGCCATTTTCCTTGAAGTATTACATTATGAGTAGAGGCACAGAGACACTGGGCTGGCACAATATGTTCTGGTAACAAACCACAGATAAGGTGGTGGAGCTGGGATGAGATGTGGCAACCACGATAAACTATCTTCCAATAAAAGTACATTGCTGCTAGTAGGTGTCTTGTTTCTTCAGAGAGATTTGCTATATTGCATTTAAAGGTGCGCTCTCATATTTTTATTTCATTTATATTGATATAAAAACAAGCTTACCCCAAATCAAATTATGAAAGCAGCACTACAATGAACATCTTGTAACAGACTCTCAAAGGGCTGTATTAGTCTGTATCTGCAGAAACAATGAGTTCTGTGGCACCTTAGAGATTAACAGATTTATTAGGGTATAAGCTTTCATGGGTAAAACTCACTTAATCAAATCTGTTAGTCTCTAGGGCTACGTCTACACTGCAAGGTTTTTGCGCAAGAAGTCTTTTGCAGAAAAGTTCTTGTGCAAAATCTCCTTGCACAAAAACACGTCCACACCTCAAGGCACATTGCAAAAGTGATGTGCTTTTGCGCAAGAGAGCATCCACACTGTATAGATGCTCTTGCGCAAGAATGCTCTGATGGCCATTCTGTGAATGGCCATCAGAGCACCTGTGCTTTTTCCCATAGGTGTTTCTTGTACACAGGAGCGATCCGAGGCCGGCTGCGGCAGCTGGTGCCCCAGGTGGAAAGCGCGATTGGCGCCCCCGCCTACACGGCCGTCAATGGCCATGACGTAATCATGGGGCGCCCTGACACCCCGTGACGTCATCATTGGGTGCCCGGGCCGGCGGCGCCCTAGGCAACTGCCTAGTTTGCCTAGGCTCACAGGCCGCCCCTGCTTGTGAAAGAAACCCCTCTGGAGTGGCCACACTTGCCTTTTTGAGCAATAGCTGTAGTGCAAAAGGGAGTTATGCCTTGTAGAAGCAGGCTTATCTACACCGGCGGCAGCCCTCTGTTCTGCCATTTTACTGCTGATTTACTTGTGCAAAAGTGCATTCGAGGTGTGGATGCTCTATAGGTTTTTGCGCAAAAATGATCATTTTTGCGCAAAAACGATCATTTTTGCGCAAAAACCTTGCAGTGTAGACATAGTTTAGGGGTATGTATACGCAAGAGGGCTGAAAGTGAATTAAGCTATGCAACTTCACCTATGTCAATTGCGTAGCTTAAATCAAAATAGCTTAACTTGGCTTTAGGCACTGTCAACAGAGCAGGAAGCCAAAGGAAGAACACTTCTCCTTCGACTTCCCTTACTCCTTGTAAAATGAGGGTTACTGGAGTCGGAGTAAGAAGTCCTCCAGCTCAACACTATTTCAAAATTCAGCCACAACCCCAGAATACCTGGATGTTTCTGGTAAAAATATGACAAACTAGAGGATTTACCGGGCATTGCTTTGGTCATTTAGGTGAATATTTTTGTTTTTCTTCATTTAAATCATTGCTCTGGGGTGGGGCTGGGAATAAGGGACTTAATATTCAGACTGCCCTGGGGAGAGAGGACAACACCAGCCTGCTCTCACTGCAAGACCGTGGGGCCAGGTAAGACATGCCTGGCCATGGCTGGTGCAGCTGTAGCAGGCACAGCTGGAGGAGGGGTACATGTCCCCGAGCTGGGGGCAGACAGACAGACACACAAAGCTCTCAAATATACAGTAGATAGCTGTCCCTTTCTTCACTCCTGCCCCTTGCTGGCTCAATGGGATTATAGCTGTCCCAGACCCCATCTCTGGCTCCGTGCTGCCCACTCTCATGATCATTACATAGTATAACTGTCCGGCTACCAGAGCCATTTCCATTTCCATGTTATGAGAAACAATCACATTCCAGACACATCCCATTGACACAAGAACGGCTATACTGGGTCAGACCAAAAGTCTATCTAGCCTAGTATCTTGTCTGCCAACAGTGGCCAATGACAGGTGCCCCAGAGGGAGGGAACACAGCAGGTAATCCTCATGTGATCCCTCTCTTGTCATCCATTTCCAGACAAAGAGAGGCTAGGCGCACCATTCCTACTTATCCTGGCTAATAGCTATTGATGGACCTAACCTCCATCAATCTATCTAGCTCTTTTTTGAACCCTGTTAAAGTCCTAATCTTCACCACATCCTCTGGCAAGGATTTCTACTAGTTGACTGTGCGCTTAGTGAAGAAAAACTTCCTTTTATTTATTTTAAACCTGCTGCCCATTCATTTCATTTAGTGACCCCTAGTTCTTATATTATGGGAATAAGTAAAATCACTTTTCCTTATTACCTTTTTCTACACCAGTCATGATTTTATAGACCTCTATCATGCCCTCCCCCTCAGTCTCCTCTTTTCTAAGCCAAAAAGTCCAAGACTTTTTAATCTCTCTCCATATGGGACCTGTTCCAAACCCCTAAACATTTGTGTTGCCCTTTTCTGAACCTTTTCCAATAACAAGATATCTTTTTTGAGATGAGGCAACCACATCTGTACACAGTATTCAAGATGTGGGCGTACCATGATTTTATATAGAGGCAATGAGATGTTTGTGTCTTATTCTCTATCCCTTTTTTAATGATGCCTAACATGCTGTTTGCTTTTTTGACTGCCGCTGCACACTGAGTGGGTGTTTTCAGAGAACTATCTACAATGAATCCTCTCTCTATCCACAAGATCTCTCTCGAGTAGTTGTAGCTAAATTAGTCCCCATCATATTGTATGTATAGCTGGTATTATTTTTTCCCCAAAGCGCATTACTTTGCATTTATCAACATTAAATTTCATTTGCCATGTTGTTGCCCAATCACTTAAGGGGTGTCTAGACTACATGCCTCTGCTGACAGAGGCATGTAAATTAGACTACTTGACATAGTCAATGAAGCGGGGATTTAAATACCCCCCGCTTCATTAAAATAAAAATGGCCACTGTGCTGTGCCAGCTCAGCTGATCGTCGGCACAGCACAGCAGTCAAGACGCTGATAGGCTGACAGGGAACGCTTTTGTCGACTGTTCCTGTAAACCTCATTTCACGAGGCATAAGGAAGAGGTCGACAAAGGCGTTCCCTGTCGACCGATCCGTGTCTTGACTGCCACGCTGTGCTGACGATCAGCTGAGCCGGCACAGCGCGGTGGCCATTTGTCGACTGTTCCTGTAAACCTCATTTCACGAGGCATAAGGAAGCGGTCGACAAAGGCGTTCCCTGTTGACCGATCTGTGTCTTGACTGCCGTGCTGTGCCGACAATCAGCTGAGCCAGCACAATGCGGCGGCCATTTTTATTTTAATGAAGCGGGGGATATTTAAATCCCCGCTTCATTGACTATGTCAAGTAGTTTAATTTACATGCCTCTGTCGGCAGAGATATATAGTCTAGATATACCCTTAGTTTGGTGAGGTCTTTTTGAAGCTCTTCACAGTCTGCTTTGGTCTTAACTATCTTGAGCAGTTTGTTATCATCTGCAAATTTTGCCCCCTCACTGTTTACCCCTTTCTCTAGATAATTTATAAATAAGTTGAATAGGTTTGGTCCCAGGACAGACCCTTGGAGGACCCCACTAGTTACATCTCTCCACTTGGAAATCTTACCATTTATTCCTACCCTTTGTTTCCTGTCTTTTAACCAGTTATCCATCCATGAAAGGACCTTCCCCCTTATTCCATGATAACTTACTTGACTTAAGAGCCCTTGGTGAGGGACCTTGTCAAAGGCTTTCTGGAAATCTAAGTCTACTATATCCACTGGATCCCCCTTGTCCACATGTTTGTTGACCCCCTCAGAGAACTCTAGCAGATCAGAAAGGCATGATTTCCTGTTACAGAAATCATGTTGACTTTCCCTCAACAAATTATTAATCTATGTGTCTGACAATTTTATTCTTTACTATAGTTCCAACTAATTTGTGTGGTACTGACGTTAGACTTACCAGTCTGTAATTGCCAGGACTCCTCTAGAGCCCTTTTTACATATTAACTTTACATTAGCTATCTTCCAGTCATTAGGTACAGAAGCTGATTTAAAGGATAGGTTACAAACTACAGTTAATAGTTCTGCAATTTCACATTTGAGTTCTTTCAGAACTCTTGGGTGCATGTCATCTAGTCTCAGTAACTTGTTACTGTTACGTTTATCAATTCGTTCCAAAACCTCCTCTAATGACACCTCAATCCAGGACAATTCCTCAGATTTGTCATCTAAAAACAATGTCTCACAACCAAATCCTTTCTTTGCTTTAAGTTATAATAAGAGGAAGCTGCATACTAAATTTCATGGTCCTAGCTCTTACCGTTTAGGAGGAGTTCTTGAACAAATGGATGGATGGACAAACTCTCTCATACATACATGCATGAATGTATATAGTAGATGAAATAAACTATACATCATCAGGGTAAATGCCAAAAGGACATAGTCTTCTTGCAGAATGAGCATCACCATCTCAATCTCTAGCTCAGGGCTAAACAAGATGAGGCCTGGGGACCAGATCTGGCCCGTGGACCATATCTAACTGATTTTTATTTATATACTGCTTCTTGTGACACCAAATTTCCAGGTGGTGGCTCAGGCAGCTGGATCCAGAGCTGCAAGTCTTTTTATAGCTGCAGGAACCCCAGGCAGCTGCCAGGCAATGTGGTAGCAGTCGGGCCAAGAGCCACAAGCCCCTTAAAGGGCTATTTAAAGGGCTCGCAGCCCCTTTGCCTGGGAGCCGCCTAGGTTGCTGCTGCTATTTCAAGGACTCCCCATCATGGCACTACCCTGGCAGGGCTGGAGCCTCAAGCCCTTTAAATAGTGGCAGCAATGCAGGTACCTGCTGGGTAGCGTGGTAGTGTTGGGGTCGGGAGATGCGAGCCTTTTGTTCTGTTTTTACTTCAAAGCCTGCAGCCCCAGACAACTGCTAGTCCCCAGTCCCCACCCTCCCAATCGGTCTCTGTCCCATTTGGGGAGGGGAGAATGGGGTGAGCCAGCCTGTGACTAGTACCAAAATTAAGTAAGTGGCTCCCCTGTGAAAATTATTGCCCACCCCTGCTCTAGTTAGATCCTTAAAACAGTCTGTCTGAATGTTTAATCTTATTGTGCCACTAAAGCTTTTGATCCTCACCTTGACACTGATCAGATAGTAGCACTGCCTGGCAAACACACTGTTACAGTTCAGTATAATTGCACCTATAGTTCCTGTCAGTAGTCCAGCAAGGTCATACTTCTCAGGCTGCCAACTCCCCAGCCACTGCCTTACTTGGATGGAGACCTGATCTTATTCCCTCCTGACCAGTGTATTTCCAAGGTGCACAGTTCTCTGCTTTCACAGTCTTATTCCCAACAGAGGCAGACTAACCAAGCACAGAAGCTTACATTCCCTTCAGGCTGATAACAGGTCAATTATCTGCAGTTATGTTAGCACACAGTTATTTCTATGCAAACCTATTTTATTCTTAAGGTTAAAGCACTACAGAGAAAGCATTAAAATCAGTAAAACACACTACATGCATGCTAATAAGCCTAGTAGAGATCTCACTAACACAGAGGTGTGCAAAAATATTTGATGGGGGGGCACTCCAAGAATTTGGAAGGTGGTCGAGGGCTGCACTCTTCCATTATATTAATGGAGAAAGTGTGGGTTCTGGGATGGAGTTTGCATGCAGAAAGGAGCTTGGGGTAAGGGATTGGGGTGCAGGAAGGCTTGGGGTCTGGGAGAGAATTTGGGTGAAGGAGGCGGTTGTGACCTGGGACACTGGACTGGGGTGCAAGGGTTGAGTTGTGACCTAGAGCAGGAAACTGGGGTGCAGGGCTTTGGGATGTGACTGAGGGCAGGAAGGGATTGTGACCTAGGAGAGAGGATTGGGGTACAGGAAGGAGTGCAGGGATTTGGGTTGTGACCTAGGATAAGGGATTGGGGTGCAGAAGGGAGTCTGAGTTGTGACCTAGGGCATGAGGGAACTGTGATCTGGAGTGCCAGATGTGGTAGGGGATATTGGTGCATGAAGGGGACAGAGGGTTTGGGTATGTAGAATATGGGGGCCAAGGGTTGGGGAAAAGAGGGTCTAAGGTGCCAGAGACAGGCTTTGGCCTGGAGACTTACCTGGGTGACTCCCAGCCAGCAGCCCAGCACATTTCTGAAGTACCCTCCTTGCCTGCCCCACCCCTGCACATGCTGCAGGGCCATGTACATGTGTGAATAAAACAAGCCGGAGAGGCCTGGGCATGGTGCTTTATGGCTGCCTGTTATTCAGACACTCAGCTCCCATTGGCTGGTTTCTGGCCAGAAACCGGCCAATGGGATTGAGCTGAGGGCAGGGTCAGCACATCAAGCCTTTCCACCACCACTGGGCTCAGTTTTGAAAGAGAAACAGCCCAGTAGCCATTTTCTGAGTGGCCTGGGGGGGGGGAAAGGCCAGCAAGGAGCCTGCCTGTGGCTCCTAGCTGCATCCACAGGCCGTATTTTGCCCAGGCTTGCCCTAACATGAGCTCTGGCTGGAGCACTTCTTCCAAACCCCACCCAAAGGCTGTGTCTACACTGGCTCGATCTTGCGCAAAAGCAGCCGCTCTTGCGCAAAAACTTGCTGCCTGGCTACACTGGCCGTGTGTTCTTGCGCAAGTAAACTGATGTTTTAATGTATGAAATCAGGGATTCTTGCGCAAGAACTCTGATGCTCCTGCTCAGGAATAAGCCCTTTTGTGCTCATAATGTTTAGTCCACCCTTTTTACAGTTCATGAATCTTGGATCTGGAGTTTCCAGGAACAGGTAATTTAGGATGACCACATGTCATCCTGTTTTGTCTGGGGTAGGAATATTAAATTTAGATTGGGATTTCTATCAACAATTCAGTTAGTCTATAAGGGCACCTCCACCTTTGAAATGTACAAGAGCCCTGGTGCTCTTGTACATTTCAAAAGGAAACCCCCACAGGGAGAATGCGGAGATGAGGGCAGCGGGGCAGTTCCCTGCTGGCCTTGCTCACCCTGTGGGGCTTCTGCTATTGGAATATACAAGAGCCCCGCTGGGGTTATTGTACATTTCAAAACTAGAATCACAGCAAGTGATGTGAGCGGAGACTGCTTCAGTCCCCGCTTGCACCATTTCCCCCTGCGCCTATACCTCCCCTCCCCCTGCAGAGACAATGCTGGGGGAAACTGGCTTTTAAAAGAGAAAAGGTCTCAGCCTCTCTCCTGATGCAAAAAAGAGGGTGTAAGGGAGGGGGCAGGCTTGGGCCCCCCCCCCGAGGCAGCGGGGGGGGGGGAGGA